TTTTTAGTTTACCTCCAATCAAGTTTTGACAGCATGCATCAAGTTGCTTGCTTTTTGTAAAAAAGCCATAAGCTGTCAGTCCTATTTTTAGTAAAAAATAATGGGGTGTCAGTCTTTACACAAGTAGAGCAACCCTAGAACTGTCTGATCCACGTCCTTTGTCCAATAGGATCTAAGCAAGATTTTAGAGGATTCTTAAGACTTTTGATGTGACTTTGCATGGGTGCATAAACCAAAGAGCTATTGAAGCCTAAACCCTAAAGTTTGCTATCTCTGACTGCTTTTTCTCACAACACCATTTATGGCATTACTTTTAGGGATTTGATTTGCTTTTAGATTAATTGGTATGGCTCTCTTCAGCATGTGTACCATCGGGTATATTTGACATCTTTATTTCTTTTTAAATTAAACATAAATTAATATGATCTCTAAAAAATATTTTTCCTTTTTTAAATTACTATGAACCTTCCACATATTCACATTAGAATTTTCTCTTTACTATGAACCACCCAACCCACTACGTGGGATTTTTGCTTTTATTTTTAAAAAATTAGATAAAATCATTCGAAATGTTTTAAGTTATATGACATATATGCTTTATTTGTTTTTAAATTTTGGACTTGTTGGATACTTTTTTTACATTTTATCCATAGATTTCATACAAGTATAATTTTTTGTAAGTGTCAATATGCACTTATTTACAAGATATACAAGAAATTTACTTAAATCCGTCTAGGCCGCCTAGGCATCCGCCTCAACTCCGCCTAGCCGCCTAGGCGCTAGGCGCCAACCCACCGCCCAACTAGCGCCTAGCGTTTTTTAGAACCTTACCCATAAAATATGCTTGATGCTCCTAGGAGATCTGAGATGGAGATGAAAATAAAACTCTAAAAAACTTTTCCAATCGCAAACCGTAAAAACCAAAAGAACCCTAACATGATCTTTATAAACAGTGCTTGAGGTTTCAGTCAAGATGGGGAGCAGAAAAGCCATGTGTCATGTCCACAAACAATCAGGAAAGATCTAGGGATAAAAATCATTTTCGGGAAAAATGTGTCAGTTGACCCATGTGGACTGTCTTAATGTGTGTGCCCAGCAAACTGGAAAGCAATGAGAAATTTTGACTAGACAAAATCACTAGATAGAATGAACTGAAAATAATGGCGTGAAATGCCAAACAATAAATCTAGACTTCACACCACTGCCACCCTCAATCCCAGTATTGAGAACCATGCCGCAGCTACCATGGAGCAGTTCCTCCGAACATGTTCTATGGTCTCTAATTTACCGGAGTAAAATATATAGTCGATAATGAGTCTAAACATCCTCGCCAAGTGGCGGCCTTCACCTTCCAAGGGACGCAGGCATTCCATAATTTCTTCCAGAGCATCCATTCGTGATTTTGCAAGCTAGAATGGTCCGCTGTCACCCTGTGCTTCTCCACTTTCTTCTTGCCAAGTGGTAAGCACTTTTGATGGACAAGACACCGTTTCGTTCATGATGGCAGATTAATTTTCCTGTCATGGGTCTTAAGCTCAGTGTGATACGTTGTATAGCCTCAATCTCCTCAGGGCAAAACAAAGCACAAGTTCCCGGTTCCAGTGGCGAGTTCCTTCCAAAAATAACCTGTTCACCGTGGCCTCCCTACACCAATGCACTGGAGGTGGCGAAATGATTTTGAAAATTTTTTCTCGGGGGAACCAAGTTGTGGTCGCCTATTTTGATGGCTGTACCGTCCCCGACTTGCCATGGCAGCCCTCTTGAAAACACAAGTCGAGCAGCCGCAATACTAATTGCAGCCTTATTCTTGAATATTAATATATGTACGTACGTTTAGAGAAATTTTTCATTATGACCGGAATACGGGTGGTACATTACGTGTTTTTATATAAATGGTAGTAAATTTTATTTTTTAAGTTATTAACTTTTTAACACACATATCCTACCATTTGTATAGTAACACGTGGTGTACCATTCCATATTCCAGTCACACTAAAAAATCTCTCTCATGATTATATATTTCTAACATATTGGTTTATTTATTTAGAACTTAATTGGTCCACGTGTCTTATTTGTATTAACTTGGTTTAAAGTAATTGTTAGTTGTCATTAGTGGTTAGTAGTTTGGCGCCCTGTCATGTTCGTTTAACTTTAAGAGCAAAGGCCACTCACTTTATGTGTGAGAAATATAATTTTTACTTACCTCAAATATTGTTTGTAAAATCGAATGATAGAAGAAGAGGGTGAGAGAGAATGTGAGAGTGGGGAGGGAGGGGAAAGAGTTTTTATTTTTTATTTTTTAATTAGAATATGTTTGGAATCACATATAGGTGTGAGGTTTTGAAAAAGAAAAAAAAGTAAAATTTTAGGTGTGAAATTACATTTCTGTGCATATTTCTTATTCATATTGAGCTTTAATTAGAGAGTTAAAATGATAATTTTATAGGATTTTGGTTGACAATGAGAGTTTTATTAATATGTAGTTTAGATTATGAGCATGCATTGAATTGGTTGTCATTTTTTTTGAACAAAAATTGGTTGTTATATTAATTAAGTTACTAACCACCAATGAATTATTCAAGTAGTAATCTTTTCCTCGATCACTTAAGCAGGCAAAGGGAAGAATGAAAATAAGGGAGAGGAAATATAAAACCTTAGAAAACTTCTATAAATTATTGAACCGTTGCATTATTACACACGAAATGACTTGCAAATCTCTGAAAACGGAAGAGAGTGCAGCTAGAAATATATTCACCTTACAAATTACAACAACCAAAAGGAAATTAATGATGCTGAAATAATATATAACTTCAGCAGCCAAAGCCAAGCAACAATATTTAAAGCAAAATAATTATAAATGCTGGAAAAGGATTAATCAACTTGAGTACGTAGTCTTGAGCCGCCGATACACCAGGTCCAACTAAATTCAAATGTTACTAAAATTCATCATCAGGATGACGACGACGTGACGGTCCAGGTTGAGGTCCACGTCCAGGAATTCTCATTCTCACTGTACCTTCAGGGTTGCAATTAGCTGGGTCGGTGTCGTAAAGCAGCATCCTGATGCCCCGATTTTCAACAAATATTGATCGAACAGTGTTACTTCGACGTAGTGCTTGCCAATTTCATGCGATCCCATTGAAACAGGCCTTGGGAGGCCACCACCATTTGCGGGCGGTGGGTCCTTTACCCTCTGGATCTGCTGGGAGAGATTCGCCCAATGGGTTTCCAAGCTCCTAGTTAAAGCGTCTGGATAAAAGGGTTGGTTGTATTCCCTCATCGCCCCTCCGACTCTATTCTCTATGTATCGGAACCTTGCCGCTTCTGAGAGCATCTGAATGATCACAAGTAACCCCCTGGCTTGCGGGGCTTCGAATCGCAATCGTCTTGCTTCTGCTGGGTCTCGCACTCTGGCAGCTTGGGCGAATCGGGGTTGGCGCATCATGCAACTGGCCGATGGCGTGACTTAGTTCGTTGTGTCCAAGGCCGATTTGATCAAGCATAGGTCTAGTGTCGGTACTTCGTGACCCTGACCCAGCTGTATCTCCCACAAGCTTTGTGTAGGTGCCGGGGTAATGCAGCTCGTGCCGATTATTGTTCCGGATGTCAAGGAATAAAGTGTCGACTGGGGCCTGAATCCTGATCAACTGCATAATCTTGAAGATAGTAGAAATGATCACCTGTACGATAACCCACCACGTAAGCGTCCACCACATCGATTGCAACCGTGATGGTCTGGTTGTTATAGTTGGTGAGATCGGCCAAATGAAAGCGCTGACTGGCCGGCACGTCTTGTCTTCGATGAAGCACCGGTATACCATGTACCCGGCGTCGTCCGCCTACTAGTCGGTTTTGCGGTGTAGTTATGAAATCTGAGTACGTCTGATGGATTGCACGAATTTCTTATTATTTAGATATTTCAATTCAAAAAAGTAAGTTATTAGAAACTTGAAAAACAAAGATTGGGTTGCACCATACATACGAAAGAGTAATAATGATGTATTTGGTAAATCAAATATCACGGTCTAATAACGAATCATTCTGATTAGTTGGTAATATTCATTGATAGTTTTGTGAAAGATTCCTGTGAAAGGTTTCATTAACTTCATAATTTATGTCTTATTAATTATTGTTTCTATTTAATCTAGATGTCTTCAATAATTATTGTACTTATTATTCCACACTTTGATGTAGAATAGATGCCTTCAATAATTCAACCTACATTCAATAAATTATCCAACGTAGTAGACAAATAACAACATACTACACTTAAAATTATTACATAAATGCTCAACCAACATCATCAACGTTCACCTTCTCGGCGCCATACATGCTCAACCAAATCCTTGCGGAGCGTGTCATGAATTTGAGGAGCTTGAATTCTATTTAAACGTCTCATATACTCACCCAAGGTGACCCTATCATGTCGGGTCTCATATGTGGTTGGAGCGAGATATTCAACATCTCTTGCAATAGCTTTCGCATGTGTTGGTTGGTCATCATCCACATCTTCGTCTGAATCTTCTTCAATTTCGATATACTCATTTTCCACAATCATATTGTGCAAAATTATGCACGTCATCATGATTGAATAAAGGTCTTCGGGTTGCCAAAATCGTGCAAGCCCTCTAATAATGGCCCTTCGAGCTTATAAGATCCCGAATGCTCTCTCCACATCCTTCCTGTAAGACTCTTGCCTCTACAAAAATAATTTCTTCTTTGCACTATCGAGATGAGAAAAACTTTTGACAAAGGTAGACCAACTAGGATAAATACCATCAGTTAGGTAGTAACCTAGCTCATAACTATTACCATTTACCTTGTATCGAAATTCTGGTGCCCATTCATTCACAACCTCATCGAACAAAGAAGATGACCAAAAAACGTTGATATCGTTGTTTGATCCGGGAGAGCTGAAGAATGCATGCCAAATTCATGTGTCGTAAGATGCCACAGCCTCCAGCACGATGGTTGGCTTGTTATGACGGCCTTTGAATTGGCTAGCCCAACTCCCAATGCATACAATCAAGACTTCCTATCATGCTAGGGAAGCCTCTTTTGTCTGCCTTACGTAGAAGCCTTTTCAAGTCTTCACGAGTTGGCTTGCGGAGGTATGTGGCGCCATAAATGGCTTGAATTGCTTGACAGAAGCGCTTCAGGTTCTCAATAGCAGTACTCTCCGCAAGTCGGCAATATTCGTTAGTTGAGTCAGCAGAGCACCCATTAGCTAGCATTCGAAATGCAGATGTGAGCTTTTGATGAGGTGATAGACTTTGTCGGCCTACGACATCTATCTTCCTTGCAAAGTAGTGGTCATGATTGACAACTGCGTTCAAGATGCCTTCAAAAAGCTCTCTCCTCATCCGAAACTGCCTCTGAAAATCATGAGCAGGAAATCTCGGCCACTCAATGAAATAATCTTTCATCATTTGGTCATGACACTCTTCTCTATCACGCTGCACGAATGAACGTCCCGTGACAGAACCACGATGGCTAGATTCGCCATGGTGCTCATATTGCATAAACGAGTTTACAAGTTCAGCTTCGGCATTAATCAGTTTTGAATCCTCAATGTCAAGCCTTGCTTGGTATTGTGCCATCTCCAATGCCCTGCTACGCCTTCTTCTATCACCCATTGATGAGATATTGAGAATTTTTAGGAAACAAAAACTTTTTGAAAGTTGAAAGATTGGTGAATATAGAGGATGATTGAAGGTTGAAAGATTGTGTGATCAACTAATATTGGACATGTGTTTATATAGAGGATGATTGATGAACGGTTGGTGTTGAAGGTTGAAAGTTTGGTGTTGAACGGTTGGTGAAAGTTGAAAGTTTGGAGTTGAACTGTTGGTGAAAGTTGAAAGGTTGGTGAAAGTAGATTGCTTTGTGAAAAATTTAATGATTTTTCAATATTTATCGGAATTTAATTTTTTTTAGATTAAAATGTTCATAAAATTAATTTACAATAATCTACATATTTTTTTTTAAATTGATTTAAGAAAAAAAATAGCCTAAGTTCATTCTTTAATAATTCCGGGCTAAAATTTTAGGCCAGAAGGGTTGGAGCAGAAAAGATGTTTTTGGGCTAAAAGTCAAATTTTCTGGGCAAAAAAATTTGGCTTTTAGCCCAAGGGTTAGAGATGATCTTAGGAGGGAGGAAAGGAGGAAAAAAGAGGATTTTAATTTTCTTGTGGTGGGGTTCGGGGGACGCACTCTCTCCCTTCTTCCTATCTCTCCCACTCATTCCTTGAACTCTCCAGAACTCTCTTACTCCATCCCTCTCTTCCTTTCCTCATGCGACACAGACAAGGCCAACAAGGAGTCAAAGTCGCGTTATCCGGCAAACCCAAATCACAAAACTAGCATCCATAATTTCCATCTCGCCATGAACTCCCCCTTGTCCTTATTTTTGAAAAAAAATTAAATTTAGATCACGAATCGAGAAGCTCCAATGAGGCCCGACTTTTCCGATGAGTTCTACCATTTTTCGATGAAGCATGGGTATTTTGGTTGAGGAACGAAGAACAGAATGTCCAGACGTTGCAAACAGAAGCAACATCCCTGTTTATTCAATTGACTCTCTTGTTGCGAGATACAAATGGGTGAACTGGAACAATGACTGAAGTTGTGCTTGCAAATAATGAAGCGACAAGTTCACTTGCAAGATGAAACAAGAAAAGGTACATACTTTAATTTTATTGAATTGTTTGTAGTCTTTGGCTAAAAGAGGAAGAATTAAGCATGATATAGGTAAGCTAACACATTGAAATAGAAGTTAAATATGATTCCTGGATAGTTTGGAATTGCCCTGAAATTGTAAATTGAATTAAACAAGTATGGGTTCTAAATTGCAAAAAACTTATTCATTTTGCAGAGAGAAACTATGTTTCAAGTAGCCTACTTTGGCTCTTGATTTCTATGTCCTTGTGAGCTCCTTTTGATCTAATATTGTGTGTTTTGAAAATAGATACGTCCATGATCAAAACCCATCTGATTTCACTTAATTCTGTTGAATTTTGATTGATCAAAATCACGTCCAAAGTTGAGTCACAGGGTTGCCAGACAGCATCAAGTTCTGTATTTCTAGTTTTGGGACTCCATTTTATAGTTGACATAACTTTCAATTTAGGGCTCATTTCTCAACCAATATTATATTATTTTAAAGTACACAAAACAAGCATCCAAAAACCATTTAAGTTGGTACCATTTGGTTCAGGTTTGAGCATTCATTATGAGCTTAAACTTGGTTGATCAAAGCAGTTTTACACCACTTTTGTAGAGAAAATGAGTGTTATTTCTACATTATTCAATTCTTATCCGAGTTTTTCTTTAAATTACTTTGCTTTATACAGTGTTATTTGAAGTATATAATGTCTATGCTACATGTTAAACAAAAGGATATACGATATTACTTTGGTTGCTAGTTGATTAGTTCCAAATGGAAGAAAGGATTTAGGAATAAACTACTTCACTTTTGATCAACCTATAGCTTGCATATATGGGTAAACATCTCAAATTTCTTTATTCTTCTAATGACTGATCATAGGTTGTGTGTTGAACTGACTACACAATGTAGCAGTGGTACATGGATGGTCCTGCTTGGTATATCCGCGATAGGGGACCATACGTATTCAGGGGTGATTATGCTTGGTATATCTGCGATGGGTGATCACTGCTTGCACGATTAAACTATGGCTATGGTTCTGCTTGGTTTATCCGCAATGGGGGACAATACACATTCTAGGAGTGATCATGGTTGGTATATCTGCAATGGGTGATCACTACCTAGAGTTAGGATGTTGTCTTGTTTGGTATATCCTTGATAGGGAGACCATACGTATTCAGGGGTGATCATGCTTGGTATATCCACGATGAGTAATTATTACCTACACGATTAGACTATGCCTATGGTTTTGCTTGGTTTATCCGCAATGGGGGACCATATGCATTCTAGGAGTGATCATGCTTGGCATATCCACGATGGGTGATCACTACCTAGAGTTAGGATGTGGTCCTGGTTGGTATATCCATGATAAGAGACCATACGTATTTAGGGGTAATCATGTTTAGTATATGCGCAATGGGTGATTACTGCCTGCACGATTAGACTATGCATATGGTTTTGTTTGGTTTATCCGCAATGGGGGACCATACGCATTCTAGGAGTGATCATGCTTGGTATATTCGTGATGGATGATCATTACCTAGAGTTAGGATATGGTCTTGCTTGGTATATCCGCAATAGGGGACCATACGTATTTCAGGAGTGATCATGCTTGGTATATTCGCGATGGGTAATCACGGCCTACATAATTAGATCATGTATATGGTTCTGATTAGTATATCCGTAATGAGGGACCATACGCATTCTAGGGGTGATGAGGATTAGTTGTACTTGGTACATTTCGATAGGCGACCATATTTTAGTTGGATTCCGTTGAGTGATCCGGAATCCCTACTCTTGCTCATTTCCATAAGGTTAGTCCGACCCTCAATTCGAGTAAATAGGAATTGCTCACAGTAGACGTTGTGTTTATAAATTAGATTTATCATGTTATTACTTGGAATCCAGGTAGGGAATTATGTAGAATTCCTTTATTAAATTTCATGAATTGATATGTGATCTTATTAATTGATTAACGTAGTTAAATGTTGATATCGTGCATCTTTGATTCTTGGAATTGATTAATTGGAGTGACTGTGGAATGATGTTGGATATGATTGTTATTACTATGATTAGATTTGTTAATCAATGTGGCTAGAGAATAATATTGTGCTTCGTTGGTTGTTCTTTGAGATGTTGCATGCTATAAATTGTGGTATTATGTTGAAACATAGTGATTTATAAGATAAATGAAATGAAAATCTTGATTGTCATGTGGGTTTGTTATGTAGCCCTGAATCTAGTAATGCATGCTTGCCAAGTCCCAATAATTGATTGAGGAATGCTATGCCTTCCTGTTAGAACGCACTGGGATAAATGTTTGAGTTTAGTGAATGGTGAACTATGAATGACTTAATCCTTTCTTAGGGTACATAGGTAGTCTAACGCTAAGGTTAGATGCAGCCATGAAATAAAAGAAAATGAATGCGTGGTTAAATCATTGATAGTGTTTTGGTCATGTCTCAGAGGCAAGACATGATAGATAAATAGGAATGTGGTGACGTCACGTGTCGATCTTGGTCATGTGTCGAGATCAGGGCGTGACATGACATGATATTTTCTCTTTAAATAATATGGCTCTCTTAAAGCTTGGATGGTTTGCTATTACTTCTGATTTTGTACGAAGTGTTTACTTTCGAGAGCGATTTCAGCTACATGGGCATTTGTATTCTTCTTGCTACAAGCGATCTTCTATATGGCCTATTATTAAACCCATTCTTCATATCTTATTTCAAAATTGTTGTTGGGTGATTGAGAATCGGTCTAGTACTTCTCTTTGAATTGATAAGTCATTATATACCCTTATTGTGGAGGTCATTGGTGCTACTAAGATTGCTCCTTCTCTATCTTACACGAAGGTCTCAGACATTATTCATATGGAAAAATGGGTTATTCCTTCTATTTCTTCTTCTACGTACTTTTCCATGGTTGGCTGCAAAGATTTTAGAGATGGCTCTTCCAATTGATAAGGAGAATGATCTGTTAATTTGGGAAGCTTCTACATATGAAAGTTTTTTCATTTTCTAATGGTTTGTTCGCTCGGTTTCCTTTAAAATCTCTCAACAGAAGATCTAACTTCAACGATGAGGCATTCCTCTATTCCAGTATTTCAACTATGATATATTAATTATGAATCCATTAAGCACTTACTTATTAGTTGTGAATTTGCACAATGTGCTTGGTTTTGCCTCGATACTCTATTTGGCACTATTATTTCCGCTTACAGGTTCCTCTCGAATTTATGGCTTGCCTTTGTATCAAAGTGGTTTTCTTCGCAACTTCACAATGCCTAGCTAACATCATGACTTTTTTTTATTAATGGCTATTTGGAAGATGCGTAACAAACTAAAGATTGAAAGTAAGCCCTCTTCATTTTCACGCATTTGTCGTTCTGATTTGGCTTGGAGTAGGTAGGTTAGGGTTTTACTCCTAGTCATGTACGTGGTATTTTGGATAAGGGACTTTCAGTCTCTCTTGGAACCTCAGTAAATCCTAGTTCCTGTTCTTTGGCACCCTTTCCATTTCTTTGGTTGAAAATGAATATGGATTGACTTGCTAAAGGTAACCGGGGTCCTATGGCTTGTGGTGGGCTTTTTTGAGATTCTACATATTATTTTCTTAGTGGTACTCCTTGAGCTTGCGGCATCATATATCTTTCTATGCAGAACTTTATGCTATCATCCTTGCTACTGAGTTAGCTCATACGCGAGGTTGGCAAAACTCATGGCTTGAAAGTGACTCTTCTAGTGTGGTATCTTGCTTTGCTTCTGGTTTTCTTTTTTCTCCTTGTCACTCCTGACTCGTTGGAGAAGTTGCGTTTCTCGGTTGCAATACATGGTTTTTCATTGCACTCACATATTTCGAGAAGGGAATGTAGTTACTGACAAATTAGTCATTTAGGGTTTCTTTCATCTTCTCTTGTTTGGCATGCCAATTCTCCTTCTGAGATTCTTCCTTTTTTTTGCAATAAGA